TTAAAAAAAAAAAAAAAAAAAAAAAAAAAAACCTAGATACTACTCTTGCATCATTATTATATACACAATAAATTAATAAACCTTATAATTATTTTATTTTTTTTTTTTTTTTTATTTCCTTTTTTTATAAATTAATTATATTTTTATATTAATGTTATTATATTAATGCATGCTTCCTTTTTTTTTTTTTATATCATTTTTATATCTATAAACTTAAAATTATAGTTAGGGATTTCATTTCATAAATGACATATAGGTTCTTTTTTTTCTTATATTGATAAAGAATAATGCTAAAAGAAGAAATAGAAGAAAAAAATAATTCTTTCTGCTATTTAAACGTTAGTGATGATATATATGAATTGGTTAAAAATTATGGAGGCAAAAAAAAAAATGACAATATTACTGATTCTAATTTAAAAGAAGGATACAAAAAAAAAAATGACAATATTACTGATTCTAATTTAACAGAAGGATACAAAAAAAAATGTATACTGAAATCAAATAAGAATGATCAAAATGACAATAAAAAAAAAATAATAAAATGCAATTTTTTATCTGAAAATGATAAGCTATATATTCTAGAAAATTTAAAGAAAATTAATTTGACAAAAAACTCAAATTTTGAAAATATTACAAAAAAATCAAATTTATTTCGTTGCCATTCTTTCTGTGTTGATAAAATGGAAAATATAAATATAATTAAAAGAAATGAAATGTCTAAAAATGAAAAAATTACTTTAAAACAAAAAAACACAAAATTAAATGAAAAAAAAGAAACTTTCATAAAAGAAAAGAAAATTACTAATGAAAAGATTCAAAACTTAACAAAAGAAAATAGAAATGATAATGTAAAAAAAGACCTAAAAGAAATTTCTAAAAAAAATTCAGATAATGCAAATAAAGAATTTAACTTAAAATCATTTTACCATAAAAACAGCAAAACACAACTTACTTATAATAGAATTAATAAAAATTCAAATAAATTAAATTTTTATATTAATAAAAAATACACTAATATTTTAAATGAAAATAAAAAAGATGTTTTAAATAAAAATGAAATGTATTGTGATGGAGAAATATTAAAAGAAACAAAAAAAAACATTCGTTCAGAAAATTATTCTCTTAATGGGATAAGTAATAATCAAAAAAATAGTGAAGCAAAAATTATTTCAAAAAAAAATGCACCACTAAATGAAAGAACTATTTCAAACTATGAAACAAAAAAAAGAGACAACATAAAAATGAATAAAACAAAAAAGGAAAACTCTGAAAAAAGTACTTTAAACTTAGAATGTTTTTCTGATTTTCAAAAAAAAATTAATAACAATTATGATTATAGCAAATTGGGATTAGGTAACAATTTATTATTAAAAGATAAATATAAAAAAAATGAATGTCTCTTTTTATCAGAAAAAATGAATTCAAGTAATTTGTTTAATAATTATTGTTCTTTAAATAATTCATTAAAACTTACGGTTTCTTCTTCATCAAATATAATTTCTTCTATTTCTTCTTATGATAAAAAAATAAGAAATGTTAGTGAAAATATAAAAAAAGATACTTTACAAGGAGAAAAAACAAAAAAAAATTTTCTTCATTCAAAATGTGAACATAGAAAATATATAAAAGAATCTTGTGGTGATTGTAAAGAAAGAAAAATAAAAAGAAAAGATAAAATAAAAAAAATAGACAAAAAAGAAAAGGAGAACATACAAAAAACGAAAAAATGTGAAAAAGAAAAAAAAAATAATAAAATAATTAATTATAACAATAATAATAATATTAATGATTACAATTTAAAAAATATACATAAAAAAAATAGTGTAAGTAATATTTCTTTTATTTCAAAAAAAAGTGAATCAAATAAAAATTGTTCCAGTATAAATATATGCAAACAAAAAAAAAGGATAGTAGAAATTAATATAATCTATCATATAATAAGATATAAGAAAATGCTCAAAAAAATAAAAAAAGATATATTGACAACCATAAAGAATATAACAGAAGAAAATAAAGTGAAATTACCAGAATATTTTAATACAAAAAAGTATTTTATGAAATTTTTAAAAAAGTTGAAGCAATTTTTAAAAAAAAAAATTGATGAAATAAAACGACTAAATACATTTGAAAAGAAAAACAGTATTTATGAAATATTTCTAAGCGATAAGAAAAACACTTTATTATTAAAAAAGTATTTAAAAAAGAAAAAAATTTTATCAAAATATTTAAACAGATATATTTCCAAAAAAAATTCATCCAATTATAATTTTAATTGTAGTAGTGAAAAATTAGCCAATTTAAATTATTATCAAAATTTAATAAAATTAAAAAAGACACTATTAATGAAAAGCAAAACTAATAAATTATTTAATAAAATTAATGAAAAAAATAATATTAAAGATAATAATAATAAATTATTAAAATTTGAAAATAAACATTTCACAAAGAAAAATAAAGATAGGATAAAAAAAAATTCTAATGAGTGTAAAAAAGAGAATTGTAAAATTTTTGATATTTATGAAGAAAAAAAAATATTTCCTAAAGATATAATACATGAAGAGAATTATAATGAAAAATATTATGGAGATTTTAACAAAAATAAGATTGATTATAAAAACATTCCTATATCTCCTTTATATTTAACAAAAGATAACAATAATTATTCAAACAGTTTATCAAATTCTAGAAAAATAGAATCAAGTAATTCTTTATCAATACTAAATGGTAAACAAAACATCAATAGTAACGATGTAACAACTTTAGAAGACATTAGAAGAAATGATATTGTAAAAAGAAAAATCAGTAAAGTAAAAAATGAAATCAAAGAAAATATAAATTTAATAAATGAGGTTAATAATAAATTAAATAATGAAATCAAAGAAAATAATGATTTAATAAATGAATTCAATAATAATTTAAAAAACGATATAAAAGAAGATAATCGTTTTAAAAATATAATAAAGGAAGGTAAAAATTTAAAGAATGAAATAAAAAAAGATAATTTAAAAAATGATGTAAAAGACAATCGTTTGAAAAATGAAGTAAAAAAAAATAATTATCCAAAAAATGAAATAGGGGAAAATATCGTTTTAAAAAATGAAATAGGGGAAGATATCATTTTAAAAAATGAAATAGAGGAAGGCATCATTTTAAAAAATGAAATAGAGGAAGGCATCATTTTAAAAAATGAAATAAAAGAAAATAATTATTTGGAAAACAATACAAAAGAAAACACTAAGTTGAAAAATACAATGACTGAAAACAGAATAAAAGGAGATAGTAAATTAAGAAATGTAAGTATGGAGAATAACGTTCATATCAATTATTTAGAAGAAATGAATAAAAACAAAATAAATAAAAAAATGAATGAAAATATTAATAAAACATTTAATGATACTCTTAAAATGAGTATTTATGATAAATCATTTAATAATTTTATAAGTAATTATAATAGAATACTTCATTTTAAAAAATGCAATAATTACTATCAAAATAGCAGTAGAAAGACCTATAATAGTATAATTAATTTTTCAAATGTTGATAATATTAAAATTAATATAATCAATCAAAATTTTCAGAACTTATTACAAAATAGTTTTTATATAAACGAAAATGAAAAAAAGTATAATAATAGCTGTAAAATAAAAGTCTATAAAAAAAATGAGTCTAGAAATTGTAATGATGAAAATATATTAAATACAAAAATTAGAATAATAAAAAATAATAAGAAATTTTTATGTGATAATGAGAGTTTTTATGAAAATAATTTACATAAAGTAAAACTTATTAAGGGAGATGAATATAATATAGTTAATAATATTAAAAAAAAAATTTATAGAAATTATAATTCGGCAGTATTTTTTTTTAAAAAGCAACTTTACAAAACGAATTTATTAATTCATAAAAATAAAAGAAACTTTTTTAAAAATAAATATTTATATAATTTTCAACAAAAAATTAGATATCCTTTTGATAATTTAAGAAAAGTGAAAGTACCACTTTTTTTCTCATACAACAAAATAAATAATTTTAACAATAATAATCAAAATGAAAAAAAACATCAAAATTTAAATGAATTATATTGCAATGGTAATAATAAAAGATTTGCTAATTTTCTCTAATAATATGAAAAAAAAAAAAAAAAAAAAAATCTATGTTGTATATAAAATGTGTTTATGTATATAAAATATATATTTTAATTATTTGTTTATTTTTTATAGAAAATAATTTAAATGAAAAAGAAAAAATAAACTCACATAAAATGACCAAGTATCAAGTAAAAAGAAAAATGTTTAGAAGACGAAAGAAAAGATAAAGCAATTATACATTTATATTTATGTAAATTCATAACTTGTAAATCAATATTTTTTTTTAAAATGAGGAATATTCATTTTTATTAAAGGAAATTTCTCTTTTTTTTTTTTTTTTTTTTATTATCAATTTTTGTAAGAAAAATTAAAAAATCTTGTTTCGTATTATTGTGTTATAATGGTTGTTTCTTTTTATATAACTTTTTTTTTTTTTTTTTTTAATTCGTTTTTTGTTAATATAATTTTTTCTAATTTTTTATTAATAATTTTTTGTAAAAAATTTAAATTTACATCTTAATTATTTATTCTTCAACATCTATCTAAATATATATTTTTTTTTATATAGTTAATTTATATTTTTATTTATTCAATCTGTCTTTTTTTTTTTTTTTTTTTTAATAAATTTGATTATTTTTTGAATTATTTT